GGTGTCGAGGGTGGGGGTTGGAGGGGAGGACAGCGTGCCTTCCTCAGATATAATTAGGCTGAGCAAGTTCTGTTTCATCTTCTCTTTCTTTCTTTCTTTTTTTCTTTCCATTCTTTACTTTTCATGATCCTTTGTGTAACCATGAACTTTATCTTTATGTGATCAAGATGAACAAAGACTATACTAGTAGGCTTATTGTTCAATTTAGAATGCAAGTGGTCTTTTACTCTTGAACTAGAGATGCTAGCTAGAATCATGCTAGATGCTAACTGATTATCTTGTGAATTTTATGAAAAAGGTTTTGAAAAAAAGTGTGGTGGTTAATTCAATTTAAAAGTATTGATATGTCAATCACATTTGACATAGTGTTTAAACTAATATCTACATTTTAAAGTTGCTATCTTTGTGAGTTGCAATGTCTATTGGTATTTTTCTCTACATTGATCTAGCTAGGTCAATGATAATGCTAGCTAGCATTGATCTAAGTCAACAGTGAAGTGTTTACGAAGTTGACATCCCTATTGTTGATCTCTAACTTACCTAAGGGAACATTTGCCCAGAAAGACTAGTTTAATCCACAGGCTGTAGACGAGATGGAGGACAGAACATAGGGGACAGAGGAACTGTAAACCCTGTACCCTGTCCGGGACTTCAAGCTGGTTACCATCGGTCAAAACTCCCACAACCCCCAGTGCCCACGACCCTAGAACACATCCTTTTTAATGTCAATATTCATTAGCTGAAATATTTATGCATGAATATGGCTCATATAGGCGCGTTTGATTGATGCATCTCCAAAAACAAAAAGACATGCTAGGGCAAATCTTAAGAAAAGTAGGGTTCCTGTCCCGCCTCGGGGGAGGAGTCTCTCAGATGCATTATTCACATGCCCTCCAGGCAAGCTTTCAAGGCTTCTCTGCCTCGAGGGCAAGAAAAATAACCACCACTGTTAAAAGTAAATCATCTCGGCTGATGCACAATTAATGGTGGAGAGGGAGCGGGAGTGCCCCGTGTTGCGAGAGGGAGAGAGTTAGCTTGCAGGGGCGGAAATCTGAGTTTAAAGGAAGCCTCGATCTGGCTGAAATCAAACAGGGATGCTGCTAATGGCAGGATCCGAAGCCCGGCATGAAATCCAAAACTGATGTTGTCAGTCTGGGGTCGGGGCGGGGGGGCAATACACACATGGGAACCCACCCCCCACTCTATTCTGCCTTAGTAACTCAAATGAACGCCTTGTTTCTGATATCAAATAGCACAAGGTTTGATGCTTTTGTCTTAGTATTTCATCACAGGCTTTGTTTGTCCTTCCTTTTAAGGTAATGATTATTATTTTTTCAAACAAAGGTCACGTAAAAATATCAGTAGGCCTACATAGCACTGAGTCAGACTGCACTTTGAACGTTCATTATTTAATGTCAGGCGCACAGCTCCCGCAGTCATTACCTCATGTCAAACGCGTGGCTCAGATTGAATTAATAGCTCAGGGTTTTATTGAGCTCCCACACTACAAACTCCTCTTCATTATCCGATGGCCGTGGAGTCAAGAAGAGGTGAGAGGAAGAATCTTGTGCTGCCGTGCAATCTTCCTCTGCCCTTTTCTCGGCACGCTTTTTGTGGAGGAGGATGAAGGCGACAGGGCCAAATTAAAGCTTCCTCATAATGTGACTCCTCTTCTCTCTGATCACAGGAGACGCCCTCGACAACAGCCTGGCATCTCCGGGCACGGGAGACGAGGATGACCAGGACAAGAAGCGGCAGAAGAAACGAGGCATCTTCCCCAAAGTAGCCACAAATATAATGAGAGCGTGGCTCTTCCAGCACCTTACGGTAAGGGAATGTACCTCAGTCCCTTGTGTAAATCACTCTCCTATACAAGCTACATCTAGCTATTGCCTCTTAGAAATGTCCAAAAAAAAATGTATCTGAATTGATTCAACTAAAAATGTTGTCTAGACTTAGCATCTCCATCAGCCAAGAATAAGCCAAGGTTGGATTTCCTGAAGGCATCTTGAATCGCATAATCTTGTAACAGAACGAAGCAAAGACAAACTTACGACCAAAGGTCCTTTGAGGAATACCGGTCCACGGTTTGAACAAAAATCAACATCAGCAGCCTTTCATTCAGTAGATGAGGGGAGCAAGACGCAAAGAGGGGAGTGTTACCTTTTATCCAAAGTCCAAAAGATACAACCGTCACGGCCCCATCAGTGTTCTATCTGTCCCGCTTTTAGATGTGTTATAACCCCTCAGTTGTTTAGTTGGTAAAAAGCCCATACAGGTCCTGTACTCGGAGTAATCCTTTCCTTTCCAAAGCCCACCTTTAGATTTTCCAGATGAAAAAGGGGGATAATTGAATTATCCCCTCTCTGTTCCCCATTCCCTTTCAGGCCTAATTTGTTAAGCACAAGTGTTTGCCATGGCAGGATGTGTCTATGAAAAGTGTGCAAGGGGACTTTGGCCCCTGAAAGGCCCATTGCAACACCCAAGCGATCAAGCATTCATCAGTCGTTGAGGGTGTGAAAAGAGCGGGATTATGTTTTGTCAGACGTTGCAGTGTGAGGCCCGCAGTTGGACGGCAGTTGGGGGGGGTGTTTCTGTCCACCTTTAGCTGTAGCCTCCTGCCTTTGTTGTCCATTCTGAAGACCCTTAAAAGATCCCCTTCTGAGGAAGCTATAGAGAAAGCAGCTGTGAAAGGTTTCGATTCATTATATTATTCATTACCGGCCCATTAGCCTGGTCGTAACTGTTGGTTTCCATGCAACCCTGCATTTATCCACATTAAAGGATTGATGCCAAAGAGTTTGGGGAGCAAACCTGGGATCCACTCGAGGTCACAAGTGTGGTATCAAAGTCAGCTGAAACGTCATTGTTTTCTCAGTTCAGATAACAGATGTAATTGGTTGTTTTTCTGTAACAGTCACGCATCTAGAACATGGGGAAAATACCAGATTTGTTTTGGATGCCGCTCAGTTGATTACAGTAAACACGATTAAATATGTTTTGTTACTGGTTTTACCATCAAATGTCAGACTAGGTCTCTTGCGGAATCTTGAGAAAAAATGTTGCCAAATTTTGATTGTAGTATGTATTATTTTCCTAGCAGCATTATGTTGTATGTTAGGTAAAATACAAGCGCTCATGAGGTTTCAGGTTTGACACCTGTGAGTGTGTGTGTGTGTGTGTGTGTGTGTGTGTGTGTGTGTGTGTGTGTGTGTGTGTGTGTGTGTGTGTGTGTGTGTGTGTGTGTGTGTGTGTGTGTGGGGGGGGTGT